AATAGGGTCGAGAGTCGGGAGCTGCGAGCTTAGAAAGACATGTGCTTGCAATTACGATTCAGTTGACCTACATCCGTCAAAGTTTCCAATCTACGACGAAGTCTACAGAGAAAAAAAGGCTAGGAGTTTTTTATTCGGCAACCTCCGGTTTTTTTAAAAGGAAATCATTTGATGAGCTTTTTTTATAACCTCCTAATTTTATGGTGCGTTTTTCCATAATGCCAAACTATGAAACATACTTTTAGTGCATCTGCGAGAAAGTTGTTCCCAGGAAAAAGGAACAAAGGCACCTGTGAATAAGAAAAACCTATTTTTTGTATAGACACCTAGACCATCCCAGCTTTGCATAGTTTCCACTAAATGGCAGCCTAGATATTTAAGACGCGATAAGCATGAACTGGGGTTCCAAATTACGCGCTTCAAGCGCACTCAAGCAGTGCGATTTTCATTATTTTCATTACGTTCCCTCTTCGTTGCTGGGGAAAACGGACGCGGAGAAGGCCAAGACAATTTTCTTACCCTCCTGCTGGGGATCTTCGTGCATATATATGTTATTTTACTATATATCAAGCAGATGAGCAACCCTCATGGGCGCACCTCCTTGAACATGCCCACTCAACTGTGAGGGGGTGGTCTCCGAAGGATCGCTTCCGATCCGATCCGAGCCGAGTCCCACATAACATTTGCATCTCATTTCCGGGCACTTGGACGCAAGGGTCAGCGGTCCAATCCTCAGCGGCGAGGGTGAGTGTTTGACAATTGCCTTTTGGGTGCGGGACTCGGAAGTGCAAAAGGAACAAAGCCGAGCGGAAATGCCTTCACATGACTACTACTGCGCGGGGTGAATAATTACAACAATGTTTTCTAGTCGCGGGGCTCTCACTATTTCAGACCCAAAGATCCCCATGGCATTTCTATTGACCCATTGAAAATCTCGCACGGAAAGCTTTGGACACCCCTTTGTAAGGGGAACACTAGGGATGTGTGCCTAATTTTAAAAACTTGATCCGTAAATGTAAACTTAATACAAGATTTTGTTATACCCTTGCAGAGGGTATTATAATTTTGGTCAGAAGTTTGTAACGCAGTGAAGGAGACGTTTCCGACCCCATAAAGTATATATATTCTTGATCAGGATCAATAGGGGAGTCGATATAGCCATGTCCGTCTGTCCGTCTGTCCGTCTGTCCGTCTGTCCGTCTGTCCGTCTGTTTCAATACCGTTTGCGAGCTCAGTTTAAAAGCTAGCGATCTGAAACTTTCACAATCGTCCTAAAACATGTGTACGCAGATCAAGTTTGAAAATCGCCCCGATCGGACGTCTATATCCTATAGCTCCCATAGGAACAATTGGATATATCTTGCAAGACTTTATGATATTTCGCGCAGTGTAAAAGCTATTGACATTAATCTTTACAAATCGTATTATTTTATGCATACCTTGATCAGGGTAAAAGCGCGTGGCGATCGGACGTCTATATCCTATAGCTCCCATAGGAACAATAGGGTAAAATCGGTTAAAATTTAATGATTTTTAGGATATTTCGCGCAGTGTAAAAGCTATTGACATAAATCTTTCCAAATCTTATTTTTTTATGCGTACCTTGATCAGGGTAAAAGCGCGTGACGATCGGACGTCTATATCCTATAGCTCCCATAGGAACAATAGGGTAAAATCGGTCCAAATTTGATGTTTTTCAGAATATTTCGCGATGTGTAAAAGCTATTGCTGTACATTTTTTCAAATCGTATTTTTTTATGCATTCCTTCATCAAGGTAAAAGCGCGTGCTGATCGGACGTCTATATCCTATAGCTCCCATAGGAACAATACGGTGAAATCGGTCAAAATTTCATGTTTTTTAGAATATTTCGCGCAGTGTATAAGCTATTGACATACATTTTTCCAAGTCTTATTTATTTACGCATACCTTGATCAAGGTGAAAGCGCGTGCCGATCGGACGTCTATATCCTATAGCTCCCATAGGAACAATAGGGTGAAATCGGCCCAAATTTGATGATTATCAGAATATTTCGCGCAGTGTGTAAGCTACTAACATAAAATTTTCCAATTCTTATTTATTTACGCATATCTTGATTAGGGTAAAAGCGCTTGCCGCTCGGAAGTCTACATCTTAAAGGAGATAGGAAAAATTGTTAAAGGCTGCGAAAGTATCCCTTTTTTTCTATTTGTATATGACATTTTTGCAGTATAAAAGCAATTGACTTGAAACGATGCTAATCTAGTTTACTTATGTATACCTTATTCCTTTCGCTACTTTTTCACTTTTAGCAATTTCGTCAAAGTCTGCAAGGGTATTAAAACTTCGGCTTGCCGAAGTTAGCTTCCGTCCTCGTTTTTGATTAATTTGTATTCTCTTCAGATATAATAAAATAGAAAAATAAACAAAATTATTTAATAATTGTTAGACCTACAAATTATAATATCTTTAAAACGAAATGATAAGAAGGATTTATAGTTCTTGCAGGCATGACAACTTTTCTTTTCGCACTGTGTAATTCAGGTGAAATAAAAATCAAATAGATTTTATGGCAATTTTCACATGGAATTTTAATTAGCTCTCCTAGGCAAGGGCGTTACGGTGGCTTATTTACGATCCCCGGCTGGATTTGTGTGGTGCACTATGCGTGAACCTGTTACAGTGAAACCCACAACTCAGCCCCTTTGATTCCTCTCGTGCAGTTGACATTTTCCCATGATTCGTCACCCAGGTGGTTGTGCTTTTCGAACCTGTTGCATAATTTGTCAAGTGATTTTATTGGCCGGGTCGACGATTTTAATGGCAGACTGTACTGCATGCATGGTAATGAGCTGCCTGAAAGTTAAGTATGATTTTCAGAGAATGGTTTTTCGGATCATAAAATGATTGATTTAAAGTGAGTGACTTAGTGATCTCCTATGTATTACGGTGTTCCCATAAAATTAGTAATATATGAAATACACATTTACATATAAAGGGTAAGTGTAGGCAATTTGGGTAAGACAGCTCTTACAGGGTTTCAGAAAAAAACATTAAAAACTTGTCTTCTATATAAAAGGGATTTATAAATACTGTTTAATATTATTTAATAAAAACAAATTAAGCATTGGAGGCTGGTTCTGATTTTTGAGAGGTCTTTCTTGATCACCTTATAATTGATCTCCTTAGTGTTGAGGACTTTCAATGTGAATTCATGGCTAAAAGTTAGGAGCGAGGAAAACCATTAATCATAAAATAGGAATCCCGCACAGTGCGTCTATCCCTTGGCCATAATTAGAAAGTCAATGACCGGCGGACCCTAGCTCCGAGAATCTCCGGCGCAACGCTCTCTGGACATTTTCGGCAAGGGATCGACTCATTATTAATCCTCAGCAGCAGAAGAGACCATCGTAGATATCTTGGTTATGGAATGCTGAAGCATGAGAGAGACGGTCTAACCATTCCCATTCCCAGCATTTCGTAGGGTTAAAACCCACGAGCAGTTTTTGTCTTTCTTTCTTTTTGGGCAATCATCAGACAATAGAAAGCTAGACGAGCCAGCAGGCGAACCAGAAGAAAAGGCAAGGCAGTCAGGAAGAACCGCGCCGAAGAAGGGGCCCCCGAAATGGGTAGGTGGGGGTACGGAGGGTCCGTCCGTTTTTCGGTCGTTGAACTGGGAGCAGAGAAGAGGAGAGTGGTGGGCATTCGGCAGTGGGAAGTGGGAAGTGAGGAGCAGCGATCTTCGCTTTCGAGAGTCGTAACAGTAAACAGTAAAAACGCTTCAAATGCGTACGACTGGCGGTGAAGCAACGAGTCTGGATTTTTGAGCCCGACTTGGACGATCGGCTTTCTTGGGTTATTGTGGCGGCTGTTGTTTTATTTTCTTTTTAAGGCCATAACCTGTTAAAACACTGACCAAAATGTTCTAATCTAGGAAATAAGAAATAATGCATGGCTAAGAAAAGCTGGATCTGCGACCTTATAAGTCAATAGAAATTTATGAATTGCCTGTATATTTCTTCGGATCGAATCAACTACAAAAATTGTATTCAGATTAAAAAGATTCCTGTTAACATTATTGTATTATTACCTTCGTGAATATATTTTATATTTAATCCTATTTTCCACAAAAATTTAAGGGCAAGTCAAAATATAGAAAAATGCAATCAAAATTCAATTTTAAAAAATGTTTAATTTGATAAAAAATCCTGTTATTTTCTCCCAGTGTGGGCGTGTGGATCGGTGCCCTGAAACCTGAGACGCGTTTAGGACTTTGGCCCAGAGCTACGCCCGCAACTTGATGGTTATTTACGAACCTGTTGCAGGCAAGGCGATGGGCTTTATGTACATATACAGCGCTATGTAGCGAGGTGGATGGGTGGTATGGGGGTTCCGACAAATGGGCACACGCCCAAAACCCGAAAGCGTTGTCCGTTTGGCAGGCGTCGCACCTGACGCTCCGTCCAAAAGTGGAAAGTAAACTTTACATGGCCAGCAATTTACATGCGTCGCCTTGTCCCGCTCCCAAGTTTCTCCTCCCTCGGAAACCCCTTCTTTGCACTCCCCCTTTTATTCTGTTTCTTTCTCTTTATGTTAAAAGCGTCGCGCATTTTTATTTATTTTTATGATACCCGCTGATTTGAAAGAAAACCCTTTCTCCGCCGCTCTTACTTCGTATCTCTCGGATTTCTCTCCTTTCCGCTGCATTCTTGTCTTGGGATTGCGTAAAGTTACCGTTAGCCGCTTGGATTTTAATACGTGTGTCTGTGTGAGTATGGAAATGGAAGCGTGGGACATGTGGGCCAACACTAACTGCCAAACCAATGTGGTTAAGTCATGGTTATTGCGGCCTCTGCACTGCAAAACAAAATCTAATTTCTGAGCTAACTAACTCTTTCAAAATTGAAATCAGAAAATCCTGCAATAGCTAATTGTCAACCAACAAAAGTTGTATTCATAAATATTATTTAAAATTTTACTGGGAGACGCCAGGGGAAATGAAAGTTTGCTTGTAGAATTACCTGTAAATTTTAATTTAAAGTCCAAATTGCATGAAAATATTTGTTTCCAGTGTGAACTGCTTATCAACGTTGCCGTTGAAGTTGCTTTGATTTTGTCCCAGTTGAAGAGGCACAGCATCCGCTAGAGTTCCTCATTTGGCTTCTAGGTGCGCATCCGCCTTCGTCTGGTATATTCGGATTTTGATTCGGCTTTTGGACCTCGACTCTACCAACTTGTTTTCCGAAGTGGCTATTGCTGCTGTGCTATTGATGTTGCTGCTGCCCCGGTGTTCTTCTCCTTGGTCGCTTCAGCGTCTGGTTTCCCACTCATTTGCTTAATTTCAATTTCGTTTCGTTTGCCATTTATGGCACAATGACCATGAACGGCTTTTTCGACAGCTGTTGGTGTCTGGTATCTTTCGGTTTGAGCGCGGAGGATGTAACTGTTCATTTGTAATAGATACAAAAATAGCGATACTCGGAGATGGGCCTCTAGATATCCCGATTGCAATGACATCAGCAGGCAAAGACAACGCCCAGTGCGATCGCTTTCCCCGAAAGCACTTGCTCGAAACAGCTTTTTCTCCTTAGTGACTCACGACTAACTGCAATACCTGCAAAGAGGAAAAAAGGGGAGTACAGTCAAGCTTCGATATACCTAACATGAAGATACTCCTGTGTGATGAATGTACAATTTAATATTTAATATTTTACAATTTTTATGGCGACACTCTCCATACCACTTTCTTATCAGTTCGTAAACAGTTTTAAAAGACCTTAATTAAAAAAGAAAGGTTTATCTATTTTCCTCAAATATAATTATTTAACAAAATTTATTCTGTTGCGGTCAGAATAATGAGTTATTTGCAACTTGACGACCTCAAATAATATTAATTAATTAATTGTTAAATATAATACCCATTTCTTAGTTACCAAATACATTGTAATGCAACTTTAAATATAAATATTTTTTTATAACTTTAAGTATAAATTTAATTTAAATCACCTTAAAAATTTGTAGAAAAAACAAATTTTTTTAGCGGAGTTAGCCTGTGGTGTAAAGCTTTTTTCTGGTGAGGAAAGGACGGAAGAGCTCCGATTCGCTCGTCACAATTAAGCCACGAGCTCAGCGCTTGACACATTGCATTTCATTAACCAATTAACATAATTAGTGTTCATCAATCAATTAATAATTCCGTTCAGTGCAGAGCAGACCGCTCGGTTTTGAGAGCGGAATTCGAATCCGCAGGCATAAATCAAAAGTCGAAATACACTTGTTGCGCCCAAGACAAACAAAAAAACAGAAATCCCACCTCAAAACAATAACAATCCCTGCTCTCCAAGTCTCCACTGAGCTAAGCTTTTCGCTTGGAGAATTGCTCTCTGGCTCTCTCAGGGGTGTTTCCTGGTATTGGTGAGAGTGGAGCCGAGCCCCAACTCTCCAATGATCTCTCAGTTGGCGCTGGAGAGCAAGAGAAAAAGAGGGCCCTGCGCATGTGTGGTTGTGATGTTGTGAGGAAAAGGGTTCTTGAACTTAAAAGGGGTCAAAACATAAAATGAAACTCGAAATGCCTTGGCACATAGACAAACCGAGCTCTCCAAGTGTTCATGTGTGCCTGTATCTGTATCTGTGAGCGCCTGTCTAGGCTCGAGTATGTGTGTATCTGTGTGAGTGCCTGCTGGTCGTTATGCTGCCGACGGGCTGTTGCTGCGCTGCTCCGCTATTTCCTTCGTTCGCCTTGTCTCTTTGTCTATTCCGTTTTCTATTTGATTTCTACCTGTTGTTGTTTTGGCTTTAAGCCTGCTCCCCTTCACAGCGCCTGCCCCCCTTTTTCCCCTTCTTCCCAGCACCCCTTAAAGGCACGCACTCGCCTCATGCCTACAGTCTACAAAATCGGTATTCATATATTTTTGAGTATATTTGTATTTAGGAACAACATGAAATCACCACCTGTTGCAATACAAAATAAAGTGCAGCTTTCCTGACCAGAAACAAAAAAAATTGTAAGTTAAAGTGAACTAAATATTTATTTTTTGTATTGGTTTATCGTGTACAGTAACATTAGACATTTTTAAGATCACAGTAATATATGTTAGATATTTCTACTTATTACTAAAATCTATTATATTGAAACCATGCAGCTATCATAAAAACCATGACTTTATGTTAAAAAATATAAAAGAAAATATTCTAAACCTATTTCGGTGAGTCAAATCATATATTTTTTGGTCAAAAAGTGGATTTGTTATTATTTATTATTTTAAGTTTTAATAGTTAATGTATGCAAAAAAAGTGGATAATTTTTTACAGTCCATTAGCTGGAGTTTAGGTTCATATTTTTGTGTTTAGCACATTTAAAGCCCATCGCGTCTATTTTTAGCTGGGGTGCTTAGGATCATATCGAAACGGATCCGTTGACCCAAAATAAAGACCCAAAAGACGTGGCGGGATGGGGACTTCGTTTCGGCCATCGCACAGGAGTCGCTGCTCATCGCCGTGAACCATTTGTGTAAACAATATTCTTTATGACGCTACCCTATTCCGATCCCTAGCCGAAACCCCCGCGAACCCCCGTCCGGTTTTCTGTACTTATTGCTGTTTACAATTCCATTCTCTGGTCTTCGTTTTACTGGGTTTCGTGCTTCTATTTGTCCGTAGGCTCCTTTCCTCCTCTCATTCTCTTCGGCTCTTGGCTGTTAGGCAGCGATTCCTTACCTTTTACGCTCCGCTGCTTTTTGTATCCACAGATACGTTTCGTATCTGTGTGTCTCCGCATCTGGAGATGTGTGCGTTTCAATCTCGATTGTCAATCTAGGCGGTTAGAAAAGATGTTTGCCTTTGGCCTGGAACAGGAACGAGAATGGCCAGAGAATGAGAACTCGCTCGGTCAGCGACCTCCGGGCGATTACACGTGTTGTAAATTAGTTTAGGATTCCCTTGTCCCATTTTGAGGAATATTAATGCTTGTTTGCCAGCCCAAAGTTTGTCAGCTCTTCAGCATGTGAGGTTTATAAAAAAGTCCCTGGAAATAAGCGATGGATTAGGGTGGGATTCCTACTACTACTCTACTCACATTTATGTTAAAGATGGAATAGCACCTCTCAGAAGATGAAACTAACTCAATAATTATCTATGTAAAACGATAACTTTTAATGGGAAACATGTATTAAATGATTTAAGTTCTAATCCTCTGAGCATAGGGTTTTGGTGATAATATTTCTATTATAAAGATAAAATCCCCGAGGATCCCTTTACGCGAGCATACAATGTTTTCCCCCATTAACTGATGTACAGGAAAAATGACTTTTTACACATGAGAAAAGCAAACATAAAAGAATGTCTGAAAAATATAAAAAGGCAGCTACCACCTGATGATGACTGGATAGAAGGGATCACAGCGTTCAAATAGCTTTTCCCCAGGAAAATCCAGTCAATTCAGCTGGCGGACAAAAGATTTCTAGATTATCGACATAGCCCGAGTGCTAGCTAGGGATCTACTCTGAGTTTGTGACCGTTGATTTCCTCTCAGCTAGCTTGGGGAGGATCAATTGTGATCTCACGACGTCAAGCTGCGATCGCCGCAGTGCCACCTGATCCAACACAGATATCCAATCAAGAGCAACAACAATTTCACACCTTTGCACCGTTAGAGAGGGGAGAAAAAGGGTGTGGCAGCAAATATATGCTTGTACATCCCAATCTTAGCTTGTCTCTGAGGACCCCTGGCAACCGGTTCCATAAGATACTTTCTAGGCTGTCTTCGCTGCCGACTGACTTGTGACTACTAAATTAGCACTCTCCTGATTGTCTGCCCCTTCCCCCCATTTCTAATTGCCGTTGCTGGCTTGTAAGCCAAAAAAAAAACCGAGACAAGAAGCCAAGAAATTCCTTTTTAATTAGCGTCCCATGCGAACGTCATCCCAAGCTCAGAAACGTACAAATCTGCGGACCAACTTCCAGCTCCAATCACCTGCAACTGTCCCAAAAATTGTGTTGCGTCATAATCACCGACTGGTGGGAACTTCCGCACACAATCAACAATCAACAGCAACCGTCGACAGCTTCTAATGCCATTCAATTGCACTTGGAAAAATAACGTTTGACATTCCGAAACCCAAATATTGTTTTTTATTATCCTCGTGATAACAATGATAAGTAGTGTTCATATTAAGAAACAGTATCAACCAAACATATTTGAGTATTTTGAAAACTTGTTATTTTAAGTTAGTCCCGTCTATTTTTTCTCGGAGTGTATCTTGCCTAATGACACTCTTGCTGCTGTGGAGCTGGCCCTTTTTGGGCCCTCAAATCCGGAAATGTCGCCATCCCGCTCTGCGCCCCTCTCCATCGCAGTGCCTTTGGGATCGGATGTGACAGGGCACTTTGGACAAGCGCTGACCCCCGTGTGAACCAAGTAGGTTGCGTGTCCCCGGTAGCCAGGACCATGAGATCCGTAAAATTACCATGAAACGCCGAATCGGTTGCCCTGGTTAGCTGCTTCCCACAGAAAGTTGCATAACTTTCACGCTCCTTGGCCGCAACCCCCGTCTCGCAGGACCTTGCACCTGTGGCTGTTGGCTGCCCAGGATCCTGGCTATTATCCTGACCCTAATCGAGGACAACCAACAAGTTGGCCGACCAAGCGAGCCACTTTCACCCTCCCTCGAAAACTCAGCCTGCAATCACAGGGCTCGTTCAACTGGTTTCGGGGCAATCGAGAAATATTTCCCATGATCTGTGGCTCGAAGTTGAAGACAATAAGGGTTCCACAAGGGGAACCGATTCGAAATTAAATTTGTATTTTGATTTCTTCGCCTGGCTCCCGACTTAATAGCCCTTGACTTCGATTCTTCGTTATCCTGCGGAACGTAACTCTTTCACACGGGCCTGTACATAAAGTCAAATCATTCCCTTGTTAAGGGGGAACCACTTTTTGGTTCTCCATTCTTCCCACGTTCCGATTCGATCCTTTGCCCTGCAGCCAGGATCAATCGCAGACGTATTTAGATACAATTTGATTTTTTTCGAGATCTCGAGGTTTGCCGCTCCGTCCTCAAAAATCCTCGATCCTCTTCAAATAGACGTGGACGTTGACACAAACACCTGGCCGTCGGACTGGGGACTACAAGCAAATAACTCAAGTCGAACGGCGGGGTAATGTTTGAGCAGCGACTGTACTCTGGCAGGACTTGTATGTAATTACGAGCCAATGGGAAAACAGAGGAGATTGTAGGAAATTACAGCGAGGCACGAAGATGAGTCCACCATCCCCGCACCGCCCCGCCACCCCTCGGGGCACCGAGCACAAAGCCAGCTCTTTGTCCGGTACTCGTATCTCTGCCCCCCGAAACTCCGATATTTACCAGCGGCAAAGAAAACGCAGAGAGCAAAAAGAAACCCGAAGATCCGAGCACTAGGGAGAAGGAGGCGGGGAGACGAGCAAACAGCGTATCCTGTACCCTTGCACAGACGTTGACTTTCATTATCTGTTGCGCCACTTTAAGCCACTCAGCCGGGGATTCGCCGACATGGGGGAGCTTCAAGGAGTGGGGTGGGTGTAGGTGCACTGCGAAAAATATGTTCCCTAAGCCCGAGAAAAAGTAATGTGGATATAATACAAAATATAAAGGATTAATAAATATATTGGCAGTTCAGAATGAAATTCAAGGAGAGAAGAAGGAAAACTTCCCGAAATATTATTTGGATTAACATATGTAACAATCGAAAATAATTTGAATGGAAATAGTAACAAAACCATAAACTGTTAATCGAAATATATTAAAATATATATAATAATATTATATTGAATCAGAATTTAAGTTATATAAAGTTATCAATATATGCATTACAAATGTAGAAATGATATAAACTATTTTAAGAACTGATGATATGATACATTTTTGGTCATATTCTTGCACAGTGCAAAAGACCGTAGCATGCATATATGAAATCTCAAGCACTTGCACGAAGGGATCGGGAACCGGGCGTACAAAGAGTTCAGCAGGGAGCACACTGTATACATCTACCCAGGCGAGGACGTGCCGCCTTGGCACAATTGGTCCGCCACAGGGTGCAGGGTACTGCCTTCGACTG